GGCAGGCTGGTAGGTCAGTTCGGAGGCGCCTCACTATATCAGGTGGTAATTTTGCTGCTTTCGCTGTCTTGTTTAATATTAAGGTACTATTATTCAGAGGAGAATGAAAGATCGCGCTCCTCCTTATTGTCAAGCTAATGGTTCTCCTCTTCTTTGGAGAGATCAGCACTGTTTATGTAATGAAGAATTATTATTTTCTGCTTTTTTTGCAACGAGCAAAAAAATCTCTTAGTTCCATCACATGCACTTGTCTGCAAAAGAGCTGAAAGTTTGATCTCACCTTCTAATGCCACCTCGAAGGAGAAAGGCACAGAGGCCATTTGATCCCACCGCTGCACCTACCCATAGCAATACAAAATGAACAACCAACTTACTACATTTTCACAACAAAAGTGCTCATGTTTATTTAGTGTTCTGTAGTAACATGATAATGCTTGATAATTACGCTTACTTTTTCTAGTACAGATGAACTAATTTCGTGACAGACGGAGAAACACGCACACATACAGACAAACTTAGTGTTTTATTATAAGTATGATCTCTAATTTTTCAAACCATCTAACACCATGTAGCGTATGAACATATGAAGGAAGTGTTACGAGAAACTCTGTGTTTACTCATGCAGCAAGTGAACTATCCTTTCAGAGTAGAGTCTTTGCTTGTGCAAGGCGTCCAAAGCGTCAATTATGTGCACATGCTTTGTATATGATAGCGACAAGAAGTATCTCTTCACTCTTCAGTTATCTTTTTTTGCATCTGTACATGTGCTCTTCACTCGTGAGATATGTTTAAATGCAGTAACCCATTCGCGATATAATACACGCTTGCTGCAGGAGAACAAGGGAATGCTTCGGGGACGACTCCACAAAATTGCTTCTTTGGATATCACCGTACTACACAAACTTCAAAGAATGAGCAGATTTGCTGGACAGGCTAGGTTTCGATGTATTATTGACATCTTAACTATCACTATGAAGAAGAAACTATGCCTAAGAGCTTTAATCAGCTTTATGGGATCAAAAACCACTAAAAACCTACTTTTTGCAACTTTACACAGCAGTATATTTTATAGGATGTAAACCGACATGGTTTATCAAAGTACGTGCACTCTCGGTTGTATTGGACCAATCTGCGCAAAAACGGCTCCACTGTGAAAGCAGGTAAATAACAAGCGGGAATTGAGTCACTGCGCAAACGCCGTTTCAATTTGTGACCCAGTTTTCTTTGAGTGTCAGCTGATGTCATAACGGAAATGAGCGAGCGCATTCTCTTTCGAAGTGTTATGTGCTGAATGTGAGAGTGA